TACCTACTTACTTAGAGACAATGTCTAAACGTCGTCGAACCTTGACTCAAAAGGAGTTGGAAGAAATAGCAGCTGAAATAAATATTGATAATGAGAGTGACTTTGATTCTGATGATTCTTTGAGAGGTCCGGATTTTCTTCTGGACACCGCATCTCCACAATTCAGATTCGATCCATCTGATGAAGAGGATGACGAAGAATCATCGGACATTGAAGAAGCCCTACAAGATTTGGCCATGGAAGAGGCTCTGAATGAAGATAATGACCAAATTGAAGAAGATAACGGGCTGCCATCATCTTCCTGTGATTGTAGCGAATATGTGGGACGCCATAAGAACTTTGAGTTTACTGGTATCAGTGGACCGCAACAAGAACTATTTCCTGAAATAACTCTGCTTGAAACATTCCTTCTGCTCGTAGATGATGAAGTCATACACCTTATTGTTACAAAAACCAACAGATTTGCAGCACAAACTATAGCATCGAAGGGAGGGACGAAATATTCCCGCATAAAAAAATGGGCATCTACCAATCCAGACGAAATCAAAAAGTTTTTGGGATTGACAATGTGTATAGGATTGGTTCGACTGGGTGCACTACCAGATTATTGGGTGACTAAGGGAATTTATCGTCAAGACATTCCTAAAAATACTATGTCACTTAACAGATATCAGTTGCTACTAACTCTAATGCATTTCAACGACAACGAAACAATGCAAAACGTTGAACCTGATGAAGATATCGTTATAGATGAAACTTTGATACCATGGAGAGGCCGCCTGATATTCAGGCAGGATATCCCAAACAAGGCTCATAAGTATGGAATCAAGCTGTTTAAACTTTGTTCGACTGATGGGTTACACATGGGCACTTGAAGTCTATGCTGGGAAATCAGTGAATGGGCAACGTGAAATTGGATTAGCATCAAATGTTTGTTTGAGATTATGCCAGAAACTGCTCTATCAAGGAAGGACACTATACGTTGATAATTTTCACACAAGCTATGAGTTGGCCAAAACAATGCTCGAGAAGTTAACACATGTTGTTGGAACCGTAAGAGCTAACAAAGAAATATGCCAAAAGAAGTTCTTCACGCAAAACTAAAAAGAGGGGAGATGGTATCTCGCGAAGATGAAAACGGAATTGTTATTTTGAAATGGAGAGACACGCGAGATGTGAGGTTGCTCTCTACAAAGCATGCTCCAATTATGGTAGCAACCAACAGAATTGCTGAAAACGATCTGCCTATAGCTGGTACCTCCAGAACCCCTAACGTTCAACCTTCTACTAGTGGAAGAGATTCCCCTTTACCAACCGAGAGACAGGAATCTGAGGACTCCCAAGATAGCGACAATAGACCATTGGTTACACCAATGAAAAGGAAATCTCGAAAAGCAAAGGAAAAGCCAATGACAATTTTGGCTTACAACAAAAGCAANTCCACAAGCCACATAAACAACAGTTGTTTTGTTATTTATTTATATAGAGGAAGATCGGTTAGGTGCACAAAATGTCATATGTCACAGAATGTCTCGGAACTCGGAACATAACTAAACAGAACAGCACGCCTCTGAAATATGTCATCTTTGTTTGTCTCATACAGATATCAGATTCATTGTCCTTTCTTAGCTATAACCGATGTTGCCAAATGGTGAAATATAAACAAATTTCTTCAAATGTTGAATGCATTATTTCATTCCTCTTTTTTAAGTATTCAAATAATTTTTTAAAGATAAAGGTTGAAATGATAAGTTTAAAATGCGTTTTTTTAGAGCTCTTTTATGAAACTACTTGATTTTCATCAGGAGGAACATTCCCCATTCACATCCAACGTAAATCGACATATTGGCATTTCCATATTGAAGCCTATATTATGATTGAAAATTCTCAAATATTCAACCATTAATACAAGAAACTACTACTTACCAATTTGAACATACTTGAGCTTCACTTCAGACACCAAGAAAGAAACTGATGATGTTACATATAACATGAGTTACATTTATATACTGACTAGATACATTCCCACTATTAATATCTAACAGAATCACAGATTTTTCTGTCAAGTTTTGCTTTAACTGGAACAAGGAATACAGCAACCACTCAAAGATATTTTTAAATCATTTTCAATGTTAGTGGCTTTAGCATTATGTATCATTTCTTCTGCAGGTACTTGACACTGATTAGTTGAATTCATAATTGTAAATACGGGTAATTTCTATAAACATGCAATGGATTTGGATTAGTATCATTCATTAGTATGTTTCAATGAAATATTGGCAATCTGAATAATTTCTTCAGTAATATTTTGCAAATGACTGCATATGAAGCCTTGAAAATGAAAATTACAGGGTTTCTTCCATTTGAACACATTTCTATTCAATGAAAAATGTATTTTTGGGTTGATATGCATAAAATAACGACGAACTTCATCAGGTGGAAGCTAATTGGAATTGAATATTTCAAGAGGAAAAAAAAGGTACTACTTAATCCTTGAAGTTTTTCCACATCTATGAGTTTGAGATATTGTGCAAGTTAACAGTTTTCTGTCTTTGTAATTTTTCCAATTCATTTTATCTTTTACCCTTATTTATAGACTTATGATGCACTGTTTGGAACTTTTGGTGTAGTAATGAATATTACTGGAGTTTTTGCCCAACACAAAATCTTTATTTTTAACACCTCGACACGTGTTTCGATCACCAAGTGATCATCTTCAAGAGGAAGATTAAACTGGAAACTTTCCTAAGCTAACGCTATTTATGCTATACAGGTATACTATACAGGTACATCATACAGGTATACCACCCTAAATTAATTTTACAATTTGCCTTATCATTTCACCATCTCAAATTCGATGCTATCAGGCTCTTCGATCATCTTGTTCGATTGATGACTCATTTATTTTGTAGAAATTCACATGTAATCTAGGATGAAAAAAATAACTTGTGTCAAATTTCTACTAACACTAGAATTGTTTTCGATGTTATCAGTCCCTTCTACTATCTTGTTCGATTGATGACATATTTATTTTGTAGAAATTTTTTGTACAACTGTCATTGAAAGAGGCATTTTTAATGGTTGTCAAGAACA